ACTCCAGTGATACTTTGGCTCAACGGTGGTCCGGGTGCTTCTAGTGTGTCTACTGTTTTTGTGCAAAATGGTCCACTTAGAGTCGTTAAAGTTAATGGCAAACTTAAATTGCAACCACACAATTACACTTGGAATGAAGAGTTTGCCGTATTATACATTGACAACCCTGTGGGCACTGGATTTTCGTTTACCGATAATGAAAGTCACTACCTAAGCAATGAATCTGAAGTCGGCCATGACGTCTATGAAGCGTTGCGCCAATTTTTTCTTCTTTTTACCGAGTACCGAGGAAACCCATTTTACGTAACAGGTGTCAGCTACGGTGGAAAGTACGTTCCCGCTGTTGGATACAAAATACACACAATGGGTGAACAAGCAAAGAAAGACGGTATAAACCTTAAAGGACTGTCCATTGGAAATGGCCTTTGTGATCCGAAAACCCAGTCAGATTATGGTGACTTTTTGTGGAAACTTGGCCTTATTGATAAACACCAACGAGATCACTTTTTGGCTGAGCAAGCAAAAATTGTCAAATTAATAGATCAGAAGGAGTACACAAAAGCAGTTTTAGTGATGAATGAGTTGTTTTTGGGTTTCCCAATTCCCGGTCACCCTCATCCTCAAACTTATTTTAAAAACGTTACTGGTATTAATTCAGTGTACAATCTTAATGAAGAGTTTCCAGAAAGCGGTTTGGAAAATTATGTTTACTATTTATCACAAAACTCAACCCGAAAAACACTTCATGTTGGAAACCAAAAGTTCACAGAAAGTTCTCGATTGGTTTTCACTCACATGTTGAATGACATTTTCAACAGCACAAAGTCATGGATTGAAGAGTTGCTTAATGCCAACTATCGCATTATCTTTTACAATGGAAATTTAGACATTATCGTTGCTGCAACTTTGACTGAAGATTTCCTTAACACTTTAAAATGGAATAAAGCAAGCAAATTTTATTCAGCTGAGAGAAAAATTTGGAAAGTGGCCAAAGAAGATCATTCAGTGGCTGGCTACGTTAAAAAAGTAGACAATCTTTATTTTGCAGTGGTTCGTAACGCAGGACATGCTGTCACAGCTGATCAACCACGAGCGGCAAGCGATTTAATAACTCGATTTATTAAAGAACAAGATTTTTAATTTTATTTTTGTACTATTTAATTTTTTAAATTAACAACTTAAATTAAAAACAACTGTAATTCTTCCCAAAATATGCGTTTTCCACTTGGCAGTACTATTTGGACATCTAACTGATGTTCAATTGAGCAAGTAGTTAGCGTTGAAACAAACTTTAGAAGGTCATTGTTGATAATGTTCACTAATGTTGTCTTTAAGTCTGTGGAGTAATTTTTTGTCAGCATTGTACCATTTGAGTTGTGGCCATTTTTGGCCACCATCAAACAAGAATTTGAACTTCCCTCCACTTTTGAAAGTACAACAGATAATTTTTCTTGAACAGAATCTTCGTTTTCTATTTCTGATATTGCGTTTATTTCAGCCCATAACTCATCGTTGAACATGTCATCTGCAAAGTTGTCCAAATAAACAACTAAATGTTCAACAGTTGGATTCCACGACTGTACTTCAGTTACTTGTTCAGTTGCCTTTTGATAGCGATAACTTGAGTTCATTGTTTGCATACGTTTTAAAAGATTTGTTTTTAAGTTTTCAAAACGTGTTGGCTCCTTCATCCGAGAGTAAATATCAGCAAAAGTAGTTTCGGCTAAAAGAAAAGAACGTTGATGTTATTGATGTTTAGTAACTTTGTAGACGCTTACCTTGTCCTCGCATCTCTTGAGTGATGTTTTCAATTAAACTCAACATTTTTTCTGACAAACCAATGTTTGTAAGTTGCTCAAAATCTTTAAGCAGTTGAAATGCAGCTTTTATAATAGCAAGTTTGTTGTTCCCCATTTCCTCAAAAACTACCGTTGCGCGGGATTTTTGATTTTTTGGAAGATCTTTAAACAATTTTTTCCCTTGATAAGTTATTTCTTCAAAATGGCCGTTTTTTCCAAAATCAACATCTTTTGCTAAAAGCTCACTTTTGTCTGTTACTTTTGATTTGTCAAAAAATTTTCCAAATAACTTTAAAGTATTTGATGATTTTTCAGTGTTTTTCAGTGAAATTCGAGTTTTCTCATTAACTAGAATCGTTTTGCCTTTTCTACCGCCAATAGTGATAGACTCTGCCTTGTGAAGACTTCCAAAGACAACATCGCCATTTTCAATTCGATTGATTGTGCGAATTATCTTTGACTGCTCCAGTATAGAGCCACTGCCCGTGTTTTGCGCCACAAAGCGGTCAAAGGTGGCCCGTGCTTCGGCATCGGTCATTTTCGAGGCAAACTGCTGAATGTGTTCATTCTGAGCCGACTTGATGATGGAGCGGGCCGTCTGCGGTCTGATTAGGTTGTTCGTAAAGTAGAAGACGGACATGGAGAACTGCACCACATCGAGCGTCGTCAGCTCCTTGCGCGAGTACTTATCGAGCAGATTGGCAATGCCACAGCCCACCAGAATGGAGTCCACGCCCA